TGGACAGAGGCTCCAACACTGCCTTCATTAAGGCTGTTTTTCTCTCTGCAATTCCTTTAATAACTTCCCACAGACTGGCTGAGTGAACCCAGAGGGAAGACAAATCCCCCCGTGGAATTACAGGCAGGTTTCCTGAAGCACAAAGGCCCGCGCAGGCCGATAGGTGACACACGGAGTTAAACATGCAGTGATTTCTGCACTAATCTGATCAAGGCAATGACCATGTCTCTCTCCGACTGCGTTCAATTCTTTGAGCAAATAGTAAGATCGACTGGTACATTGAGGATCCGGATCTACCTCAAGATCCTCCCACTACAAATTTTGTAGGAAGGGAGAAAAACCAGATTTTTGTACCGTTGTGTCCTGGTTTTGGCTGGGATAGAGTTAATTTTCTTCCTAGTAGCTAGCGTAGTGCTGTGTTTTGAATTTAGCACTACAAGAATGTTGATAACACTCTGATGTTTTCAGCTGTTGCCAAGTAGTGCTCAGACTACTCAAGGACTTTTTGAGCTTCTCCTGCTTGGCCAGGTGCATAACGAGCTGGGAGTACAGCACAGCTAGGACAGCTAACCCAAACTGTCCAAAGGGCTATTCCATACCATAGAACGTCATGCTCGGGGGGGTTAGTCGGTCGCGGGGAGACTGCTCGCGGCTCGGGGACTGCTCGCTGCTCGGGGAGTGATCGCGGCTCGGGACGGGCTGGGCATCGGTCAGCGGGAGGTGAGCAATTGCATTGTGCATCACTCGTTTCTATATTCTGTATATTCTGTTACCATTCTCATTATTATTATTATTATTATTTTCTCTTATTAAACTGTCTTTATCTCAGCCCATGGCTCTAACCTTTCTTCTCCTTCCTGATTCTCTCCCCCATCCTATTTTTCGCCGGGTGCTCTCCCCCATCCCACCGAGGGAGGGGGGGAGGGAGCGAGCGGCTGCGTGGTGCTGAGTTGCCAGCCGGGTTAAACCACGACACGTTGAATAAAAGAGTTGCAAGTTAGTGAGTGAAGTGTCCAGGAAGTACCAAAGCAGCCAGTCTTTTTATTACAACATTTATTTTAGTATAGAAGGCACTTACAATACAGAAAGAAAAAAAAAAATAAATGATAGGCACCAAAAGTGAAGTCAGAATTAAAATGACAAAGAAACAGTTTACCAGACAAAAGGAGCACCCTTCCCTGTTAACAATACAGCACACGGAAATGAAGCAATTGGTGACTAACTTTTTAAACAGTTAGGGCTTTTTTTTTTTTTTTTTTTTTAATAGAAAAAGATAAAGGCTGTTCTACTGTCAACTGAAATGAAAAAAGAACCCCTCCACACACCTGTACACGGATTTGGGAGTTGGTGGTGTTGACAAACATGGGGCCTTTCAGCTCCGGCTCTGCAGGAGGTCCTGGTACATCTCAATGAGGTGAGCGGCCTCTCTCTGCCCAGAAAGCACAGCACCGTGGGTAGTGGAATAATATTTCCTGTGAGTGGCCTCCCCCGAAAACATCACCTGCATTGGCTGGAGGGGGTAAGAGAAGCAGAAAAGCTCAGCAGCGCTTACTGGAAAGGGGACGCGAGGCTAAAAGGAGACGAAACCTTCTGTGCCCTCCCACACCCCCATGAGGTGACACCAGGGGTTTTGAGATTGCTGAGTCTCGAAATCCCAGTGTGCTGCGCCACGGTGACAGGCACGGCACATGTCTGCTGATGTCGAGCTCGTCCTCGTTGCTATAGAATCAGAATCATACAATGTTTTGGGTTGGAAGGGACCCCCAGAGGTCATCTAGTCCAACCCCCCTGCAGGGAGCAGGGACATCTCCAACCAGATCAGGTTGCTCACAGCCCCGTCCAACCTGGCCTGGAATGTTCCCAGGGATGGGGCCTCCACCACCTCTCTGGCCAACCTGTTCCAGTGTTTTACCAGCCTCATTGTAAAGAATTTCTTCCTTAGATCCAGTCTAAACCTACCCTGTTTTAGGTTAAATCCATTACCCCTTGTCCTGACACAGCTGGCCCTACTAAAAAGATTTTCCCCATCTTTCCTCTGGGCCCCCTTTAGGTACTGAAAGGCCGCACTCAGCTCTGCCCGCAGCCTCCTCTTCCCCAGGCTGAACACCCCCAACTCTCCCAGCCTGGCCCCAGAGCAGAGGGGCTCCAGCCCTCGGAGCATTTTAGTAGCCCTCCTCTGGCCCCGCTCCAACAGGTCCGTGTCCTCCTTGTGCTGAGGTCTCCAGAGCTGGACACAGGGCTCCAGGGGAGATCTCACCAGGGCAGAGTAGAGGGGCAGAATCCCCTCCCTCGACCTGCTGGCCACGCTTCTCCTGATGCCTATGCCTGTGTGGAGCTGTTTGCAGGGCTGAGGCGCCATCACAGGGCCAGAGACCAGTTCCAACAACCTGGAACAAATCTGCACGACTCACAGAGCACCTCACTTCTCTACTGACTCCTCCCTTTGCTCCCCTAAATAATACTTTGGCCTTTTAGGCATCAAGGATGGTTTTTTTTCCTGGACAGCAATTTCAGAAGGAAAAATAATCATGTCTCAAGACCCACAGGGTGAGACACAGGCTCTTATCTCTTACACATCCATAGTTAGGGGCTTGCTAAAATTGCTGCCAACTCAGTTCTGCGGCAGGAATTTCAGGTACCTCTCTTCCCTGGGTGCTACAGAGAAAGATTCCTAAAGCTCCTGCTATCTTTTTTAATAGACTTCTGTGCTGAACAAAATTCCACGGTGGGATTAGGCTCTGGGTGGAGGAAATGGACTGGGCAGAGGCTTGGAGGCTGCATATTCCTCAGCCATTGTCTTTGGATTTGGACACATAACCCTGAATGACTGGGTGAGTTGGGCTTACCATGCTACTGCTCATCAGCTGAGCTGTGGTAACTATCTCTGTGTGCTCCTGTTCGCCATGCGATATTAGGAAAGCAAAGGCAGTGTCTGAGGAGCAAACTCATTGTCCCCTGCCAATTCATGAGCCCCCCAGCCAAGGACGGGGCCTCCCTCACCCTCCAGTGCCAACACAGAAAGATTTCCTAACATGCAACTCTGACACATTCAGACCTATCAGGGGTCATGCATTTAATGCTCCATATTCAGACTACGCTTTAAAACAGAATAATGTGTTTTCCCAGAGAATTTTGAACTGGCCAATAAGGCTAATGGTCTTTAAACACAGAGATCAGAATTCCAAAAGCCACGCAGATGGCCCAGCTCTTGATAATTCCAGAGAGAGATGCGGGAATCCCTGAGATGTCAGGATACCAAACATTAGAGATAAAATCCTACATGCGTTATTTTTCCAGAGCAGTATGTATAAAAAAAATGGAAAACACACTACTGGAGACCCAACCCATCCCTTTTAACCTCCCCCCAGAAAACCCACTGCCCAGCATCACATTAGTCTTGCCACAGAACCGATTTGGGCCATACTTACAGCGGTTTTGGAGCTTTCAGCATAAGGCAGTGGTTTAGCGAGTTTCTCTACGTCAGCCCCACTAGACCCAACTTGGGTGTAAGAGTAGGATCCACGGAAGTTGGGATTGCTGCCCCAGGAGGACCGCAGGATCCGGCGAGGTTTCGGAATGTTTGGATTCCCTGGGTGGAAAGCAGGAGAAGACAAAAAATTAAGACGGTGCCTGAGAGAAAACATGACAATGCCTGTGCAAGGTGTGGAGTGGCACGTATTTATTGAAAATATATTCTAGCAGAGCCTGCAGGCTACAGGAAAGATGCCCTAAAACAGAACTCTTTCCTTCTACTGAGTTGTAAGTATCTATGTAACAGAAATAGCACCCCTTTTAATCTCAGCTTCAGTCTTCTGTTTTGGGAAAGATCATGAAAATGTTTATGTTCCTAAAAGATTGGGGAGCTTCAGGGAACCCTGGACAGTCTGGTTGAAAATACAGAGCATCTCCTGGTCTCATTTGCCTGGTGGTGATCAAGCATATGACTGATCTCACCTAATTTTAGGTATTTAATTGGGTGCCCAGTCTAAATTGGATGTTTAGGCAGTCTTGTGAGAGGCGTGCCTCCAAAGAGGAACAGAGATAAGGATGTTAGAAGGCAAATCCTCATTATGTGGGGGCATAGGAAAACCTGTCAGAAAGTTCTCAAAACCTGTATTACTCACTCCAACTGCCACCCAGTTGTCCCCCAAATGAACCTAAAATCCAACAGACCCATTTGGTGGGATGCACATGGCATGGAAAGAAGGCTTTTGAGGCTGAAAGTAGGATTTCTAGATTGCTGTTGGATTTCCACCGCTAAGAGGATGTAGGACCTAGAGATGAGGGGCACTTGAGTGCACCATGACAGGGCCATCATCAGCCAATGTCTCCATCCCAAAGAGTACAGGAGCATATGGCATCCAGGACCTTGGCCCAGGCAGCCCACCAGCTGGTGCCACACGAGCCTCGTGTAGAACTGAAACAGGGAGGGTCATGCTTTGGAGAGCCTCTTGCTAGGCTGGTTTGAGACCACCTCAGTGTCACGGACCAAGATTTTGTTGGCGTCCTGTGATCATATCTGGCTTGGCAGGAGAGGAATGGGGAGACAGGACATGGAGAATTGCAGCGAAGATTAATTTTCTCTGCAGAAGAGCTGAGACACATCCTTGAGGCCACCCTTGAGGCAACCTCACATATCCAGGCAAGGCTCAGCTACTGGACTCTGGGAGTTTGTCAGCACAAGAAGCAAGAGTAATTGAAACACATTTGCATCTTGCACAGTTCCTGTGCCTGCTTCGGACCCTGACTCTGTAACCCTTCAGCACGCTTAGCCTGCTATGAAGATGATGCAAATTCCCCCACTTTCTTCATCACGGCTTAGAGAGGGAGACATCCACCTGTACAGACTAGTTCTACTAAAAAATTACTTAGTCATGCCTTCAATTCCTTAAAATCAGGAGCAGGTTACTTCCCTGGCTCAGCTACTGCTTTTGGGAATATCGTGTGTCAACCAGAACGATGAAATACAAGTCTGAAACGCAGCAGAGGCACCTGGATGGCTTGCCAGAGTACACTGCCAACACTTTCTAGCCACTAACCCCCAGATCAAAATGTGGCACAGACTAGCAAATAAATATACCCTGCAAACAAAATAGATCCTACAACTGAATGTTGTTTCAGGAGTTAACAACTTAGCATAACAAAGCCTCTAGAACATGCTCCTCCAAGAATCTTACAGGGAGGCTCTCAGAGGCATCAAGGAAATAAGTTATCACGTTTTATTTTTCAGGGCTGTGGGAAAGCCCAGGAGAACACACCATGAAAGCTGTTAGACAACGCACCACCAAACAGGGCCAGAGCAGTCATCCATCACATCGCGTTACACAAAAACAATCGCACAATGTATTTTCAAATAAAAGGAGTCTCTGCAGTGGGTTGGTGGTGCCTCTTCCATAGCTGGTGCATGTTCTCATGTTCCACTGTCAAGGTACCCAGAAGATTTTCAGTACTGGAGTCAACAAGTAAGATGTTGATAAAAAAAAAAGATTAACATTAGGGACACACAGTGCCATAAGCAATGAGATGAGGGCTTGTCAGCCTGCAGGTAAGGCCACAGATCTGCTAAAAGACGGAAATTTGTGAACAAAAGGGTTTGTGGAGTCATAAGCCCAATCAGCAACTGTACAAAGCCAGCAATATTTTATAGAGCAATCATTCAGACTGGTAAAAGCAACAGCTTTGCCTCCCTCCAGAGTTTCCCATGGATGACCTTGCACTGTGTTTACAAGCAGGTAAACAGCAGCCTTCCTCCCGGGGAATTAATTCTTCACGTAGCAACTTCATCACAAGGGAAGCTGCAGCACAGCAACACGAAGCGTGGGGCCTCGGGCAGATGGCAGAGCTCCGGCAGAAACACCCGAGCCAGCTGCCAGCGCGGAGCAGGGCTAAGGAGCCCGGGTCCATTAACTCGCAGCTGTACAGCTCCCAGAACCAACGCCAGGCTCCTTCCCTAGCACCATGCTGCGCAGTGCAGCTTTCGTGAGCTCCTTTAGGGTTCCTCAAGACATCAGACCGCAGGAGCAATCCACTGTGCGAGTGCTGTGCCCCAGTTGGCGGCCGGTCACAAGCGGTGTCCCCCAGGGCTCAGTCCTAGGGCCAGTCTTGTTTAATATCTTTATCAATGACCTGGATGAGGGGACTGAGTGTGCCCTCAGTAAATTTGCAGATGACACCAAATTGGGTGGCAGTGTTGATCTGCTTGAGGGGAGGAGGGCTCTGCAGAGAGACCTGGACAGGCTGGATCGATGGGCCGAGGCCAACTGTATGAGGTTCAACAAGGCCAAGGGCCGGGTCCTGCACTTTGGTCACAACAACCCCATGCAGCGCTACAGGCTCGGGGAAGAGTGGCTGGAAAGCTGCCTGGTGGAAAAAGACCTGGGGGTACTGGTTGACAGCCGGCTGAATATGAGCCAGCAGGGTGCCCAGGTGGCCAAGAAGGCCAATGGCATCCTGGCCTGTATCAGAAATAGTGTGGCCAGCAGGAGCAGGGAAGTGAGCGTGCCCCTGTACTCGGCACTGGTGAGGCCACATCTTGAATCCTGTGTTCAGTTTTGGGCCCCTCACTACAAGAAAGATGTTGCGTTGCTGGAACATGTCCAGAGGAGAGCAACCAAGCTGGTGAGGGGTCTGGAACACAAGTCATACGAGGAGCGGCTGAGGGAACTGGGGTTATTTAGTCTGGAGAAGAGGAGGCTGAGGGGGGCTGCCCAGAGAGGTGGTCGAGTCCCCATCCCTGGAGGTATTTAAAAGAAGGATAGATGAGGTGCTTGGGGACAGGGTTTAGTGGTGGGATGGCAGGGTTAGGTTAAAGGTTGGACTCAATGATCTCAAAGGTATTTTCCAACCAAAGTGATTCTATGATTTATGCGCCTTTTAATGTGAGGAAGCTGTTTCTAAGAGGAAAATCAGGATTCCTTCATTCCTGCAGCACAGAGAGGAGGAGCTTGCTCGCAGGTCAGACGGGAACACACAACTCAAGCTCTGATCCCGAACTGCTGTTTGCAAGAAAGAAACTACGCAGACTGGGAGGGCCACACTCATTCAAGGAACATATTTAATTGCACTTTCTCAATCTGCTTTTAAATAGTTGGGTAAACATGTGCCTTTGCCTACAGATAAAAGTAACAATTAATACAGATGTGGAAATTTCTAAGTTCCCACTGTTCAAAGAGAGATAAAATGGCTAAAAAAGGACCTTAGCCTTCATAGAATCATAGAATCACTTTGGTTGGAAAAGACCTTTAAGATCACCAAGTCCAACCTTTAACCTAACCCTTCACTACAATAGGAGGGCACATATCTTTACGCCACAGAATCCCACTTTTGAAGCTGTGGAAGACAACTCCACATGCCTCAAACAATCCTGTCTTTATTCAGCTACTGGGAGGTGTGGTTACACAGATGTATTGGTTATGGGGCTGATCATGAGACACAGGATTATGGTAAAATCAACTCACAGACCTAAATTAAGGCACCCAAATTTAATTGCCTAGCTGAGAGCAGGATATCTAAGATCCCATCAAGGCCAACAGAGGTCTGTGGTACTACCCACACATTAGTGTCTACAGCCACCAGAGAGACATTAGGGTATCCCAGGCATCCACATACGATGCAGAACCTAAAAGAGATCCCTTCTCCTCTAGAGAAATAGCTGCAGGTTGGGGAGAACAGCTCAGGGCATCTCTGGCCACAGCTTGACAAACCAGTGAGTCCTTCAGAAGGGAGTGGGCCTGCAATCCCTGCCTTCTGGCTTCTAACACTCGGAGCTTAGCCAGCATAGAAGCCAGAGCAAGACTTCTAATTGTTCGAAGGCATCCCATTTAATCAGATTTAGAGGACGCTGCTTTTCAGCCATCCAGTTGTGAAAAGCAGTAATTGCCAATGGTTCTTAGGTTAGGACGATCCTCAGGGCTTTTCACAGCAAAGCCAGATAATCCGCAACGCTAACCGGCATGGGAAATTTAAGGTCACAGAGGCAGATCATCTCCTCTCGGAGAAAAATTCTCAGTGCGAAACAACACTGAGTCTAAAAGAATGGATTTAACATAGGACTGGTCTAACACCCTCTGAAACCAAAGCAAAGGCCTCCGTGAGCAATGGACTGGGAAAACACAGCTGAAGGTGGGAACCCCCCTGGCTAACGCATTAATTCTTGAATAGAATAAGAAGAAATAAGAACATGGGGGATTTTATACCCAGAACATGAAAGCTACAAAAGGCAAAGTGAATATTAAAAGGCTCATACTATCTACTTTCAGTACTGAATATAAGGCTGTCTCTATACTCAGCAGAGAAAAGCTTCTTCAGAAGATGTCAGAGAGCACCAAGTGAGGTGTGGAAGATCTGAACTGCCTTATGGAAGAGTCTTTCCTTCCACTGAGCTTTGGATCCTAGGAATGCTAGTTTCCCAACTCAGTTAGCTCGCTTACATGAAGCTGGGTGGTGGGAAACACTTTAAAAGCTGGGTTTGGTGGTGCTAATCGACCAGAGACCAGTCATTTTCAGAAATGACTACAGTTAGATCACAGGCAGAAGGCTGCTTTGTACCCCCCCAACCACCTCCTACCTGGTCTAAGCCACTCTCACACTCCTGATGAAACAGGTTAGTGAAGAACAGGCTAGGTGCATGGAGAGCTGTGCACACGTCTGTTATTTCAGCCTGCCTGGCACCTGGTCCAGACCAGCCTTGAGCTAGTGCTTCTTCTGTGAAGCAACTAGGGAACAAGGATAGGATAGGAGCAAGGATAACAGGATAAACGCAGCTACCTTAGCAAGGCCATCCTGGAAGAGCTGTGAAAAGGTTTTTTACAAACTAACAAGTTTTTTTGGGCAGGAAGTGGAAGGGGTCACGTTGTGTAATGGGTACTCCAAGGACAGGTTTTCTTCTCGCAGTTTTGAGCAGCTGAGAGGTGACCTCTCCGCTCATGCACAAAATGTTCATTGCAGGGCAAGGCCCTGGTAAATCCAGTCTGAAATTCTCCAGGGTTAGATAACCCAGGATTAGCAGAAGGCTGAGCTCACGCTGCTGCAGAGCCTGATGGACACGGACCAGGTGCAGCATCAACTAGGACAGCAACTGCAGCACACAGCGATGAGCCGGGGCCGATACATTCCCATCCTGGGAGGAAGAGAGGAACATCCGACACATTCCTATCCTGGGAGGAAGAGAGGAACATCTGACACATGCAGACAGTAACAACAGTGAAGGAGCCCAGGAGGGGAGAGGGAGGGTATGCTCCCAGAAAGACCCGAAAAACCATGACGAATTGAAGTGGTTTAGGAAAAAAAAAGGAGATCTGAAACAAGGTTGTTTATACTCTCTGGGAGACGTCAGCACCGGAATAACTTGGCCTTAAAGAGGAGAGCCTCCTGCTATGCCTGCCTGCTGAGGTCAGGAGGAAAGGCAGCGTGGATGTACTGACATTGCAACACAACGTAGGGATACCCAACACCACCGAACACAAACAGCTCAGGAGGCAGAAGCTGCCCGGCATCCAGAATCCACTGATTCATCCTACTTCCCCGCAGGAGCCGGCTATGCAGGTCGTCCTCAGCCTCCAGGACCCTTTCTCTAGAACTCTGCGTTGTCGGTAGCAAATGGTCTGTAAGCACAGGGGAAAGCTACACTTGTGAAGGCAAATTTCTTCAGTTAATTGGAGGCGCACGGACAAGAGGTAAGGCTGGAAACCCACTGGGTGTTGAGATTTGGCTAACACAAGCTAGCAGGCAGATATGAATAGCTTAGTCATGGGACCCAACTCTAGAACAGCATAGAATACATCTAATCTTGGATGAGAGCACCCTTATAATTGCTTATAATTAGGTATAAATCCAAAATCCTTATTTCAAGACTGTCAGTAAGTCAACCACTATTTCTTGCAGTGTTACTGCCTTACGCTTGAACTTAACAGTGTCTCCCATCAGAGGATCTCAAAGAACTCCATAGACACAAAAAGCCCTTTCCTTGGCAAAGTGTGCAAGCTCTAGAGGAGTGACTGCAGACAAACTAAGGTCCAGCTTGTTCAAATATTACCACTTCTAGTGATTTCATCTTGGATTTTCTCAGCATAATACACTTAAGATCTGTCTTGCTCCAACTGGCTGCCTTTAATGTGATGTGTGCTCAGTACAGGTGAAACCTGTGAAATCCGGGGAGATTTAAGTGAACCATCCAGAAATGGAACCTCTCAACATCAATGGACACTTGGAAATCTAGGCCCATGAGATTGCCACATAGAGTCACGTTGAATGGAAGTCAGGGATGTGATTCAGCCAACACATCCCAGCGGGTCTAAACAGGTTCAACTCCACTAGCTCTAAAAGAGCTATGCTGCTTTCCACAGCTGAGATCAGTCCTCAGGAACCCCGAGCCTGACAGTTCCAGCTGCCAAAGAGTTATTTGTGATTAAATAAAGCAGAGGATGTGGAATCCTCAAGCACTTCTACCCACCACTTCCTGAGCTGGTTATCAGCCCCTCTGTATAAATAGCTTTCAGGCACACCCAAGCAGGAGGTATGCTGGAAGCCCACACACAGCCCATTCAAAGGGACATAAAATGCCAAAGAACTAAAAATTACTTTAGCGCATTTCCTTCCTAGCGGTTATTCAACACCCCAGCCCCACTCTCCCTCTCTTCTCCGCTCACCAAAAGAACCAGAGCATGGCTGACCTGTAAATTTACGTAGCATTTCGGTGCAGGTTTCTGCCACAGTTTCGTCATCGCACTTCTCCATAATCAAAGCCTCTTCTCCACAGATCCAGCCACTCAGGACATGGCCGTACCTCTCTGGTGGGTAGAGTACGTCGAAGCTGCAGATCTTCTTGTACCACAGCTCCTCAGGGTAAGTCAAGCTCTCGCTCTCTGCCTCGTCTTCCCAGACAAATTGGATGCTGTTGCATTCAGAGCTCCAGAAAGGTTCTTCGAACTCCAGGAAAATCTTGTCGGTCGTATTGATTCCTAGTTTCTCAATGGCCATCACCTTCTCCTCGGGCAAACGGGGATGAAACAGGGTCTCATGGCGTTTCTTCAAAACTCCCAGGGACACCGTCACAATGACATGGTCAGCTGGGATGAACTCGCAGTCCTCGCACTCTACGAAGACATCGGAGCCCTTGTCCTCCTCAGGGAGGTCACTGTTGTGGTCAGCCACCCTCTCAATCTCCTTGCTGACCGACTGGTTCCAGTGGATGCACTTGACTGGCTTGTGGAGCTGAATGACAGACTCAGGAATGGAGCGGGCCAAAATCTCCACGATTTTAATGAAACCGCAAGGAATGATGTGATGAGCCCCAGGGATTTCGGTCCATTCCCCAAATTCACTGAGCGAGACTTCATCCATGCTGTGGGAGCTGCTCTCGCAACTCTCTACCTAAGGAAAAGCAACACAAAAGCAACATTGCCACAGAGCAACTCATTTTGCCACAGCACAACATTGCAAGGGCACAGAGGAGCTGCACAAGCTGAGAGTCCTGAATCCCGCTCCTAAACCACATTATTTTTGCTAGTGAAGGAGTGATTTGCCATAGGATTGGACAAAATCAATCCTTAGCCTGCCTCCCAACCAGAGAAACCATTTTGTCATGGTAACAAGCTGCATCAGCTTTGGTTGCATTGGCCACGGTTGCATCAGCCAGAGTTCAGAGATGATGTCTTTGCTTCTGCATGATCCTGGGTTACAGTTCTGACTGTTGTCTATCATTTAAAACCCACTTCACTGGCTGCTTGGTGCTCCTACCACAGAAGCTGGAGCTATGTTAATCAGATGCTCCTTCCAATGTTAATAAATGTTCCCGTGAGGAGCCACGGAAAACTTTTGGCAGCTATTTCTGCTGTCTGCAGCTTTCAACATGCTGTCACACAGTCAGCAATCAGCAAGCTAACAATCTGCTGGAGGTGCGCGGACCCAACACAGAAGGAACTGAAGGAGACAGAAAAGGGAAATGCCAAGATGTGAGACACTTGCGTTTGATTCACTTGATGTGATTATCAAAGCTTTAGATTCGGGACCTGTTGGTTAATGTTTGCAGGAGTATTAGGCCTAGCTGTAGCTTCCAACAATCCCTGGAACAAAGGCAGGATGTTTGGCCTGTCTTGTGATAAGTTTCTAATGATAACACTGATGCATGGGACACAGCTATCTTAAAATCTTCAAATCACTGGAGTCACAATGATTTGCACACCATAATTCTTTAAGCATTTTAGGCAAAGGGAACATTACAACTCCATGCCTCACCCTTTGACCAATTTTCCAGGCCTTTCCACACTTTCATGACCATGTTTAGAAGCCTGGCAAGCCCAGACCCTCTCCCTGTGGAGCATCCTGGTGCTGGGCAGGAATCTCTGTGCTGTCATGTCAGGCAAGCAAGTCAAAGCTGTACTAAGTAGTTCACAGGCTGCTCCTGTGCCTTGGCAAACCGGTGGTTGCCCTTTCCTGGTCACTGCCCAGTGACTCCAGTGAAGACAGCAGGCACAACTGCTGGGCCAGGTGGCTAGCAGCTAGGTCTTGAAGAAGACCTATCCTCTGAGTCTGCTGAGGTTCTGCCCTATCTGACGGCTGAGCAAGCACTCTCCAACACCCACCCAGGGCCAGTTCTGCTGGCCCACGGCACAGACCCTGCACCCTGGGTCACGCAACAGGCCGCCCAGCCCGCCTGGATGCTCCAACAGGACAGTCCACATTATGAAGATAACTAGCAGTGATGGCTATTTGATTCTTTCAACCATGAAGGAAAAATGCCAGGGAGAAAAACAGGCAATTACCAAGACTATACTTTGCCTGAGACAGCAGTTAATCCCCACTCTCTCAGCAACCACTCTGATCTGATAGTCTTAAGTATCAGCAGCTTTATTGTTCTCAGGTATTTACACATGAGAAGGGATTTGCAAGACTTGCAGAAAAGTCTCTGGCTGTGGCAACCTGTAGCAACCACAGAAGTAACCACCAGGGAAACCAGAGCTGTATCAAATGTCTAACATGGTCTGCACGGGTGATGTTACGTGGATAATACAATAGCTAACTAGTCTTTATGTGGCAGCTGTGGAGAGGCTCTGTGATACAACCTTTTGGGTTAGGACAGTGGGATATAAGAACAGCACTCAGGATGCCTGGGTTCAAATCTCAGCTTTACCACAGATCTCCTGTGAGACTTTTTAGGTGTTTATTTCTCTTTGTTTCAGTTTTCCACCTGTAAATAGTGAATACCATATACTTACCCACACCACAGAGTGCTGCTTGCCTCCCTTGCCTCATTTCATAAGCCTTTAAGTCATTATAATTGAAATAGAAATGACTGTTACGCTTTACTTGATGTGAGTGCTTGATGCAGCGTTAAGTCCTTATCCCACAGAGATCGCATTTAGGCCGAGGCATCAAGGAGATAAAAAGAACTAGGGAAGCCGTGAGGAAAGATGATTAGGACCGGGGTTTATACAATCTACCTTTGATTTTATTGCTTTACCTTCAAAATGCTTTCCAGGGATTTCTTCAGCAAATTACTAGTATCAAAGTTACATTTCTTCTGGTCTCTGAGAGATGGACAGAGGCAGAAGGGGGTAAAAGACACTCAGGTGGGGTCCGAGGTATAAGGCACAAGCTGACAATAGAGTAGCTTCAGGTGGTAAGAAAATGTTCAATCACACCAGAAAAGTTAACAGGGCCTAGGAAACCCCCTTCTGATTAGAAAGCTGGAAGTTTAAGATAAGAAAAAAAGCGTACAGTCATTATTTCTTGCAGCCCACTGTCTTCAGATATGCCTCACGAGGAAAAGTTGTCAAATATGAACGCAAACTGCCCCAGCTGCAAGAGAAAGCAATTCCCCAGTGATGGGCAAGGCTTAGCCAGGTCTCTGCGGTTCAAGATTTGTCTGCTCTTAGTTAAAACAAAAAAACCAAGGACGTGCACACACACCTTAAGGTACTGCTGGATCATGGCTAGTTTCAGCCTCTTGACGGCCTCTGTGTCATCCGGATCGGCCTTGACACGTTTGCGCACTACGTCCCGTGTAAAGACGCCCACACTATTCTGGCTCTCAGCATTGACTGGTTTACCTCGTTGGAAGAACTCCTGAGTCAGGTTATAGACCTGCGAGAGACAGGACAGACAGACAGACAACGTGATTCACAGCAGAATCCAAGCCCCAAGCAGGATGCTTTCTCACCTATCCAAAACCAGAACATTCAGATCACCTTGTCTTGCCAACTTGAGAGATCAGCTTTGGCAGTTTATCGTCCACTCTGCTCCAACACCATGTCAGGTTGCACCCACAGCTACGCTGGTTAGAAGGCAGGAAGCAACACTTCCCTCCAGGCAAAGATAACCAACCTTACTCACCTGCAACAGTCTAGTTACTATTAAGTCATTAAGTTACTATTAACTTACAATTCGAGTTATTTTTCAATTTCAGCATGTCCGTTCTGTCACTTGCAGAAGACCAACTGAGGCAGTCCTGCTTTTTTCAGTAGCTAAAGCCTCTTGTTCAACCGCCTGTTTCGATACTGCAGCTGGATCTGTAAGCCAGGCAAGCACAGGCTGCAGAGCACCGCTCCAGAGCAGGCTTAGGTTTGCTCTGTGTAATTCCTGGCTCTGCCGAGCAGTGTCACAGCCCGACTAAGCTCCAGTCTCCATCCAAAGACTACTGGGAGCAAACTCAAGCAGCAGGACCCACGTGCTTCCTCACATCTGACAAAAGCACCAGCTCTTCTCCCACCTCGGTGTCTCAGGTGCAGCCTCTGTATCTAAAACCTTTCTCAGGTTGCAGGGCTCAGATCTTTGGCTGCTCTAACCTGGAACCAGCCCTTCCACCCTCTCCGTTATTCTAATTATTTAGCTGTAACGCCCAGGAATTCACCAGGGTGGAGGGATTCATTTCATATTTAGTTTTCCGTTGTCCCCTGAAAAACAGGAAGCAACCAACACAGGCTTAAAAGGAATTTTGTATGCACACACATTTTACTCACTGAGCACAAGACAAGATCCATGGAAAACAATGACATCCCTAGTAGCCCCCCACCAGGAACCAGTCTGAGCAGGGCCGCAAGAAAAATCCCCTTCTAACAAATTGTTGGGTTTTGAAGAAGATCTGACATTTTTATTAACCCCAGTTTTCCACTGTACAAGCTACTTAAAACGAAGAAAACAACCATCCACCTTGGCCATCTGCTTGTGGCTGGCTGGCATGGTCAGTACTTCTGTCTCTAAGATTGCCAGAAGAGCCTGCAGTTGAATCACGGCCCCTCACTTCCATGGAAAACCTCCCAGGAATCTTTTAACACAGGAACGCTTTTAAAAGATGCCTCCCAGAAGTGCAACTCAACCCATTAATGACTTGTTTGTCCAGATTGAGTCACCTCCTCATTTATATCATGCCACAGAGGTACACAGTATGCTTACAAGTAGAGAGGCAAGATCCCTGCTTGGTGAGTGTTTCCTGTCAAAGATGGTTTGATGACAACTTGTCATCCTTTTTTGGAGACAGGTTATTCAGATATAGTGAGGAGTTCAACTCAAAAGTAAACGGCCTGGTAGGAAGATGGCAGAACCATGGCAGCCTCTGCTTCAAAGGCTCCTACAGCTCCTCATTCTCTACTGATACGGCTAATTCACCATGGTTTACTTTCTTCGCACCTTGATGCTCCCCAGAAGCTTGATCTTCTTTTGGGTCTTAAGAATACAGTGAATTTAAGGAGGCAAAATAGAGGGATGATGAGAAAGGGGAGGTAGTGATGGAAAATGTATGGCAGTGGTAGGACTAAGAGAGAGCAGGGCTGTGAGTGAAGGGAGGAAGAAGAGTAGGCAAGGACTAGTAAGGGATGAGGAGGAAACTGAAATAAAAAATGAGAGAAGAAAAAAGGGGGGGGAAATAAACTACAAAAGCAGAGAAGTAATCACAAGAAAAGTAAGTGGAACTGCTGAATACAGAAGAGAACTGCAAACGCTGACTGGGACAGTCTTTCCAAGGACATTTCCAGACAAGAAATGTGGAGGCCAATGCCCTATGTGAAACGAAGGCTTCCAGCAAAGGAAAAGAAGTATCATCCTCTTTGTTCCCCAACGCCAAAAGCTCTTTGGCAGTTTCAACACCCCATGGTTCTCAGGTCCACTGATTTCTGAGGCCCAAACCACTTCTAGCAAGTACAAGCTGCATAGACCTTGCGTCAGCATAATGCAGCTCAGCTTTCATAAGCCGATTGCACACTGTAAGCAGATAACGCATTCACAAGACAAGCAAAGCTGTGTTAAAACCCAGCTACCATTTGGCCAAAAGGATAAGTGAGCCATGGGTATGTTTTTATTAACCGTTGTATTCTTCACTGCCCAACAGAGAAAAGAGCAGAAATGCACAGTTCTCTGTGCTGTAAACATCAAGTGAAGTCTTTCCTATGCATGCCGTCCCATCGACCCGACAGCAGGTAAGTATAATCACCACCAGGATTTATTATTTTTTCCTCAGAATCCCTGTTATGTCTTTGCTTTTCTCCTCTTGGGGGTGCTGGACCATTTGATGAAGAGCAGAAGGCAAAGCCCTTGTAGGAAAGAAGCAAGAGGAGAAACAACAGCAAGACCTACATGAAGAGATACATTGTCCTAATAAAAGACTCAAAAAGATGTTCAATGTTTATTGTCTAATGTACATATGCAATGAGCCCATCCTGTATAAGAAACTATGGAAAAGGTTCACTAGAAGTCCCATTTAAGGTAGGTTTCTAACGAAGTAAGAGCAGAATTGTTCTGTCTGGAGTTGGAGTCACTTGGGCTCATAGTAAAAGAAAGCATGGTCATGCCTCTGGGTCCACCTCTGAAGCCACAGGGAACAGGCATTTGTGAGATCCGAAGACACATTTTCCTTCAATCATTTCATTGTGATGTGATGAAAGAAGGATTCCTGAGAGAGTTCAAGCTGGCTTTTTTTTTTTATTTTTTTTATTTCAAAAAGAGCCTGGTGAAAGGTAGCATCGAGAACCACCTGAAAGATTCTGCTGATTTTCTAGTTAACCCTACAAAATATCATAGAATCACTTTGGTTGGAAAAGCTGGTGAAAGGTAGCATCGAGAACCACCTGAAAGATTCTGCTGATTTTCTAGTTAACCCTACAAAATATCATAGAATCACTTTGGTTGGAAAAGACCTTTGAGATCATCGAGTCCAGGCATCCAAACTGAGAGCACCGTGCCCATCGGCACGGAGAGCTACACCATATACAGTCCAGACTGACCTCCCTTTTCTGTTATCACACACCTGATACAAGCAGGGAGAAAAAAAATAAGGACAGACTGCATCATCTCCCAGCTCCTACCCCTGGCAAGCTCACATCCCAGCACAGTGACTTAATCATTTCTCACTCGAAAGCTCCTCTGGGTTCGGGCAGAACAACTGGCCCTAGAAGCCTGTCTGCAAGACAGAAGCAGAAGACACAGAATATCTCAAGCAACTATTCATTCTGTGCAGATTTCCATCCCAAATTCTGAGGGTTTACATATAATCCTATGGGGAAATGGGGCTGAAGGTCAGAAGTTAAAAGGAGTTAATTGAATGGCCATAACTCTAAAATGGCTCCACTTCGGCTTAGATCTTCTGCCTTCTTTCTGACCAGCTTTGGGGCATCCCACAACTGGGGTCCCTGCAGAGACGCAGGTTCCACTGAGGATGTCTTCTGTGTTACCTACAGGCTTCCACCTCCACATTTACTAGATACGTGCTCCTCCACCACAGGGAGAGGCAGTCTCTTAGGAAGAACAAATCTTGATAAAGAAGTTTCTCAGCACTGAAGGAGGTCAGGAAAGCACATCCCAATCCACGGTCCTTCCTGTTAGCACCGGTGACGATCCGTACCATTGTCTTTTTCTTACTTGGCTTCAAAACTGCAGTGACTTAATCCCCGGTCGGTAAAAAAACCCCGATGGAGATAGGTCCTTGCTGTTACCAGGCCAGACATCTGTCAGTGCAATAGAGGGGCAGGGAGGGAACGGTGACTCTCGGTGGCCCTTTGGTCCTGCTTTCTATGATAAGGCAAGGCAAGGCACTGGAGCTTAACTGGGGATGGCACGAAGCCCAGCACAGGGTGGGGGTGAGAAGGGTGGAAAACTTTGTCATTCTTTGGCTGCATCCCTCCCCCAGAAGCTGCGCAGCACACAGGAGAAAGCTGACAGATAACAAGGCCATTAATTAGCTGATTGTTGAAGGGAGGGTTCCTGTGAAGCAGGTCTTTAGGGACCACATCCTTTCTGAAAAGCCTCATTAAAAACAGGCACTTTTTCTAAATCAGGCGGGCCGATGGGCTCTGGAATTCCTGGGCAGGCAAAGCAGTGTGATTTTTCACCTGCATTTAACTTGTCAAGCTCACCACCTCCCTCCCACCCTTCACAAATACCTGGGAGTTGGCCTTGAATGCCGCTTTGGGGAGGGAAACAAAGATCTAGCAGGGACAGAAGAGCAACTCTGAGATGGGTTGTCCCTGTCCACATCTTCCCAGCTGTTACACACACACAGACAGTGAAGCTGCAGACATTACCCTTTTGAGATCATCGAGTCCAGGCATCCAAACTGAGAGCACCGTGCCCATCGGCACGGAGAGCTACACCATATACAGTCCAGACTGACCTCCCTTTTCTGTTATCACACACCTGATACAAGCAGGGAGAAAAAAAATAAGGACAGACTGCATCATCTCCCAGCTCCTACCCCTGGCAAGCTCACATCCCAGCACAGTGACTTAATCATTTCTCACTCGAAAGCTCCTCTGGGTTCGGGCAGAACAACTGGCCCTAGAAGCCTGTCTGCAAGACAGAAGCAGAAGACACAGAATATCTCAAGCAACTATTCATTCTGTGCAGATTTCCATCCCAAATTCTGAGGGTTTACATATAATCCTATGGGGAAATGGGGCTGAAGGTCAGAAGTTAAAAGGAGTTAATTGAATGGCCATAACTCTAAAATGGCTCCACTTCGGCTTAGATCTTCTGCCTTCTTTCTGACCAGCTTTGGGGCATCCCACAACTGGGGTCCCTGCAGAGACGCAGGTTCCACTGAGGATGTCTTCTGTGTTACCTACAGGCTTCCACCTCCACATTTACTAGATACGTGC